AGGTTCGATTTGTGAAGGATTCCTCGTATAAAATTCCCTACAAAAAGTATATGGTGAAGTATATATRACTTAAGATATTCAAGCTACTATTGACTTAAGACATTCATGTTCAGAGAATAACATCAGTTCAGAGGAGCTTATTCAAAACTTCATGTTTTTAAACTTGTAAGGTAAAGCTTAAACTTACTATTTCATCAACGCCTTTCTCGGCAAAGTATAAGTGTGTTAATCTCTTCAAATAATGCTGCAAATTTTCATCTTTTTTCTTCTTAGTATGACTCGGACATTTAGCAAGCATTTCCAGTGTAATTTTTCCCATTTTGATTAAGATTTATCCAAACCGAAGAMACATGCGATGCAGACAACAGGATCTGTTATTGTGAAGACTCAAAGTTGCTAGTCACGTGATAGAAATATTAGGATGTTGTCATGGAGATGATTCAAGCCATGACACCCAGGAAGCAGTTATGTAAAAAGATAAATTTAACACCGTAAAAAAGTATGTGGAAAAACTTACTGACGTTTCGGATGTTAATCCTTCGTCGGAGTAAAGATCACCCAGGAAGGCCTCGCTTTTCATCATGAAAATAAAATTTCTCTATAACTTGCGATGTGGATTATATTTACCGGAAATCTCTGGAGCGATTTTCAGAACTTTTATGAATAAAATGTGACAGGGKAGGAATCGAAGCCTTCCATATCGACTTCGAACAGCTCCAAATTTGTAGAATTTGTAGAAAATRAATGTACAGAAAATGCAAAAGATCCAACCGGGAGGTACCACAGGTAGCCCAAACTTATTATCAGAGGATGATGACGTAAAAAGTGTTGTTTCAAACTAGGTTGGGAATGATGTCTTCTAAAACCATTGAAAACTGTAAACAATTCTCAGAAATCTCTCAAAAAGTTAGAATGATTATTAAAGAACACGTTGGTGTAGAAATATTAGCATAAAAGTGTATCTGGAGTGATTTTGAGCACTTCGAAGATTCGCTCCCTTCCGAGTGTACATGTATTTAGGCACAGGCAACCCAAGCAGAGCATTTGATGAACTTTACAGTGAATATAATATATGGGATAATTTTCCTTAATCTCATGTGTCATAAAAGACATGAGTCATAAAGACTGATGGCAATATTTTTTAAAAAAAATAGCTCTAAATCCCTTCAAAACCATACACAATAATAGCACTGTTAAATAACTGAATCAACATGGTATTTAGTTAAAATGTATTTTATTAAAAAAAAAAAACAATTTTGAATCCCATCTATTGACTGTTAAGTTCAAATGCTCTGCTTGGGTAGCCTGTGATTTAGGTAGCCCAAACTTATTATCAGGGGACAATGACATAAAAATTGTGTTGGACGGGGTTATCTATTTTAAATTTAAATCTTGGTTTCAAAGTAGG